GAGCAGAGAGGATTTTTAGGGCAGTGAAATGATTCTGTCGTTATAGTCTGCGTTTGTCCAAACCCATGGTGAGTATAACACCAGGAGTGAACCCTAAGGTAAACTGTGGACTTTGGGGGGGGTAAGGATGTGTCCATGTAGGTTCATTGATTGTAGCAAATGTATCCTCTGGTGCAGGCTTCTGATCTTGGCGGGGCCGGCGGGGGGGTTGCTCCTATGTGGCAACTGAGGATATGTGGGAACTCTCTGTACCTAAAACTGCTGTAAAATGGTCTTTTTATATATTAAAAAAAAAAAAAAAGCCTGTCAGCGCATCTGTCATCCTTCACTACAAAGGTTCCCCAGCAGTTAGCAGGGGCCCTCCCTCCATCTGGGGTGTGGGGGGGGAGGGCGGGAGGAGGTGAGTGCTCTGAATTCACCCCATGCCTCCCAGCGGGGGAAGTGGGAGAAGGGACGGTGGTGGCAGAGCCCGTTCCTGCGGGGGCCCAGCGAAGGGGAAGCTCTAAGGCTTCTGGCCAGTGGGAGCTCCTGCTGAAAGCCTGACCAGAAACCTGGTTTTACTGTTTCTCCTGAAGTTTCCCACACGGCAGCCCATGATCTATTAGAAGTGGAACCTGGGTCATGTCGTTTTGCCTACGTGAATCCCTTCGGGGACTTTCCATCACACCTGGCATCAGATCAAAATGACAGCCTCTGGCCTCGAGTCCCCACACAATTGGGCGCTTCCTGTTTCTCTGGCTCCCCTCCCCCCCCACCTCTCTGTCCCCCAGCGGCTCCGTCCTGTCATCCTCGGACATATCAGGCTCTTCCTGACACCTGCTCCCGCTGCTGGGAATGGTCATCCCAAGCTTCACCTTCGTGGGAAGGTCCTGGGATTCGGGTCTTAAATGTCACCTCCTGGGCGCCTGGGTGGCTCAGTCGGTTAAGCGTCTTCCTTTGGCTCAGGTCATGATCCCGGGGTCCTGGGATCGAGTCCCACACCGGGCTCCCTGCTCCGCAGGGGAGTCTGCTTCTCCCTCTCCTGCTTCTGCACCTCCCCACTGCTTGTGCGTGAGATCTCTCTCTCTCAAATAAATAAATTAAATCTTTTAAAAAGGAAAAAAATGTCACCTCCTTCGTGAGCCCTTCCTAGCCACCTGGTGTGAAGGGGTCTGTCTCTCAGCCACCCCGTCACCTCTCTCTGCTTTAATTCCCTGCAATTTTATTTAATATTATCTGTCTTGTTTCCTGCTCCATCCCTATCTCTGAGATCAGGGCTGGCAGGTTGTAGGAACTGGACCAATCCGTGTTGAATGAAGGATTGCCGTGAGATCTTCCAGTGCGACAAAGCGGGGCAGGGTGGGGAGGGGCGACTTTTATCATTCATAGATGGGGCAAATAAAATCGCCAAGCCTGCAGCTGGTCTCACGATCCACGTGCTACGAGCACCGAATCTCAGGAGGTGTGGATGACATTTCTTTCTCTTCTATGTAGCTTGTGTCCTGCAAGAGCTTGGCAGGTGCACCGAGAACCAGTGACCTGCCCTGAGCTTCTGTACTTGTGCCATTGACATCTGACACCCCATGCATCCCTATCTGCTGAAACCATTTCCTCTCCCTCGCCCTCTCTATGGAAGGTGCCCGCGTGTCTCCAGAGCCTCCGAATGATCTTGCTTCCCCGGCTCCTGCAAGAGCCCCTCGTTTGCCGGCTCCTCTGGGTCCCACAGCTCTCCCATCCCTCTCATTGCTTCTGCTGCTGCGTGGTGTGGACCCCCCACTCCTTCCCTCCCTCTCTTCTTCCCTCCATCTCTCTCTCTCTCTCTCTCTCTCTCTCTCTCTCTCCAAATATGAGCAACGTAAAGAATCTACAGGTATCCTGGAAAAACAGTGCTGGCTTTAAGCCTACTGTGGCAGGAGGGACCCCCCCTCCCCTTTCAAGCCCTTCTGAGCTCCAGGAGAGGAGAGTGGCTTGGCCCCTGGCTTGTAGCAGAATGAGCCATTCCAAGGTACAGACACTAGCTGCAGCGTAGGCGTGTGCTGGCCACTGTGGTGGCCACTAGCCACCTACAGTTACTTACGTGTAAATTGAAACCAGTTGCAAGACAATAAATACATCAGTTTCTCAGTCACACTAGCTACAGTTTAGGTCCTCATGAGGCACCTGTGGCTGGCGGCTGCCCATTGAACCTATAGGTAGAGAACATTTCCCCCACTCTAGAAAGCTCTATTGTTGGATGGCACTATCCTGGACCCCCAGCACTTAGAGGAGGTGTGTCTTTTCCATTAATGTAGTCAAAAGACGATTTGTAAGCGCCTAGAATGTGCTGCTGAGCTGCGACCCACGGTCCCTGTCCTCGTGGAGTTAGTGGACAAAGAGGGGTCCTCACCAATTTTTTCCCTCGGAAGTTTGCCCTGGGACTCCTTGTACCTGCAATGATCAGACCCTCACCACCAAACTGCTATGAGCCCCTTCAAGATGCTTTGGGCTCCCCAAGTTAGTAAGGCCTTCCTTAATTGATGAAGAGGAGAGGTCTAGCGTGGCTTCTTCCAAAGACCCCACTGTGCCTTTGGAATATGACTGTCCCACTCTGTATGGAAGGTTCTGGAAGGAGTCAAGATTACGACTCTAGTTTAAAATATGGAGAATCTGGGAAGCACAGAGGATGCAAGCGAAGCGCATTTCCTCTCTGCCAGAGATAGTGTTAGACGCGTGGAAGGTGGGGGACGAGCAGGAGGGAACCCAGACATGGTGCTCCTGTTGGCCCCTGCAGCTAGGTATGCGGGTGTTTCCTCTGTTGTAGGCAGCAGACCTTGTGGGCTCCATCATCCATTCCCCCAGGTACTCCCTCAGCTGGCCCTGGGACCAGGGGTCACGCACGTGCTGCCCTGCCCTCTAGAACTCCCCTTTGACAGGGTAAGAACACAAAGAGAGAGATGCCCTCTGTCCAAGGACACCTGCAACCTCATAAACACTCAGCTCTGAATTCCACCTGCACATGGAGAAACACGGCGAGGGGACAGAAGTCGGGGGTCCTCCCCACGAGGAATGGACCTACACCGGACGACAGCAAAAGGAATCACATTGGTCTTGGCTCCTTGGAGAGATCAGTTCTCTCTTCTTCCTCTTCATGTCTCCCTGCCTCCCCAGCCTCCAGCCTCCTCTCTGCATCCCTAGGGAGAGGGCTTGGGTGTTTTAAAGCAGCCCTTCTAGAACTTGGTGCTGCCTGAGCGTCCCTACCTCGCCTGGACTACGAGGGACCACACAACGGAAGCAATCACCCCATGACAGCGCATTTATCCGTCTCTTCTTCCCTGACCCCCTCCCCGACTTCCCTTCCTCCCACCAGCCTCACCCCAACCCTCAGTGTCTCCCTGGGATGCCCTTACCTGGTGAAGAAATGGCTTGAGTCCCGAGGACGTGGAAGGACGGCATCTTCCCAGCCCGGGGGGTTCCTGCACCCACAGCACGCGTCTCAGCCTCCTGAAAGCGCTCCCAGGCCCCGGGGCAGCCCCCTGGGTAAGAAGCAAGCACACGGCTCCCCCGGCCCGAGGAACGGCCCAAAACCAGTTCAGGGAGTGTTTCTCCTCTCTATTGCGCCTTCTTTTCTCTGTCCAGAATTGCCAATGCAGAGGGAGAAGTGAAAGGCCAGAGCCCTTGGCTGGGGGACCGTTTTAGACACAATACTCAACGACTCTGGGCCGAGAGCAGGGAAGTCATGGGTCCCTCAAGGCTCTGCTGAATCAACGGGTGCTTTCATTCTGACTGCTCACAGTTGGTAGCTCTCCTACGGGCTGCTCGTCGGCCTCTCCCATGGAGAGAGTAAACGGAACCGCGTCTGAGGCATCCCTGTGCTCTGCGTGAACCGACGGTGACAGATTTGGGTCGAGGGTCTGCGGAGGGCCACACTCTGCCGCCCCGGGGAGTCCACGGGGCGATGAATGCCCTGAAGAGAGGAAACCGGTCTCCACGACGGTATAGCTGTGATTTCTCCCCCAGAACAAAGATAAAAGACAGGACTTCGTCATAACGACAAGGAACTGACTTGGGTCTTTTTCTCTGTTAACAGGCAGCAGAGGGTATGGGCTGCAACCTCTATTCCAAGGTTAGGCCCTTACACGCCCCTCCATCGCCAGGCACATCACCTGACCCTGGGACCCGGGAGGGGTGCACTTATGTCGTGATCGAAGGCCCTACCAGAGCCGTGGGCTGCAAACCTTCATCTGTGGGCTTCATTAAGAACATAATATTTCATATGTTTGGGCTTTTACAAAAATGTCATTGAAACAGCCATCATTAACCAGATGAAACATGCTGTCTTTGTCCATGTATCGGATGGATAGTGGTCACATCAAAATGAAAGCTTACTGTTATCTGACCCCAACTTTAAGGGGTCTGTGACCCTCCAACGCTCCCTGGTTTCCTAGACATCACATGCATGACTTTCTAAAGCAGCGCCCTTCAGTAGGATTTTCAGAGATCTGTGCTGTCTGCTGCAGAAGCCACTATCTCCGTGGGACCACTGAGCACTTGCAACATGGATGCTGTGACCAAGGAACTAGTTACATTTCAATCAGTTTGAATTTGAAAAGGGCCCTGTGGCCAGTAGCGATTGTGTCTGCATCAGGTGGGAGGACTCTCTGGGTTTGGGTAAAGCTGTCAAGGCCAAAGAGGGTGACGGACAGTGCTGGGGGTGCTGGTCCCCTGCAGGTCCAGCCAAACCCCCCACCCAGGGAGACCTTAGCAAGCTGGCAAAGCCGACCCCTCTCAACAGCTTCTCTTTCTCCCCGCCCCCTCGCCCCATTTCCCTGTAAGTAGCTGTGCTGTCTAGGAAAAGACATTGTTCTTAGCCTCTCCTGCCTGTAGAAGAGTCTTCAGGAAGGATGGTTTCCCTTAACCCAGCGGTTCTTGGTTTTTCACTTCTGGGTGTAAATCATCAACTCTGCTGATTGCTGGAGCTGCAGCTGGTGACTCCCAATCCCCACCCTCCGGGGCCACCCTACCATTGACAACACAGGCAGGGGTGGCCTGACTTCCTTTAGAGTGTTTTTGCCGATGTTGTCTGCACAGATCGCATAGAAGCCTTACCCCTCATCCCAGGCAAAGAGCAGACCAGCCTTCCTCCCACACAGAGCTGGTGGGGCTACCTTCTCCTGGACCCTCTCCTGTTGTGCTCCGCAGTGAGTATCACCCTTCTCATCTGCACGTCCCAGGGTCTCCTGTGCCCTCACTTGTGCATTGCTTTGATGGCTTCTAAAACCCAGGCTTTTGCTCATTTGTCCAGTGGTCATGAGCACCAGGCGTTTTGCTAGAAGCTTCCAGGGAAGCAAAGGTGAATCAGGTAGTGTTTTGCCCAGGCTTCTTAGGATGAGTAATAAGGCACCCTCCCACCCACACATGTAAAGTAAAGGTTCAAGGCAGTCTGTTCTGTGATTTGTATCTTACAGGAGGGAGAAGCAGGCACTCGGGACAGGTGACAAGAAGGTGGTCAGCACTAGGAGAGTGAAGCCCCCAGGAGGGCCTTGGGTCTGAGAGACTGCCCCATGGACAGGATGCCTGGGGCAGCATTCTCTGTAGCAGTGAGAAATTGGAAGCAAGCAAGCTTTGCACCGAGAGGTGACTGGTTAGGTGAACTGTGACATAACCAGACAATGGAATACCCCACAGCTATCCAGTCTGACGACAGCTCCACGTTAATCTGCAAAAGTGGGCTGGGAAAGAACATTAACTAGAAAGCCGGATCGATAAAGATTTGTGCAGTCCGATTCCCTTCCCATTAAGTGTGTGTGTGTGTGTGTGAGGTTATGTTGCAGAGAAAACGTCTAAAAGGATGCATTTCAGAAAGTGACCAATAGCCAACCCAAGAAAGGGTTGTTTGAGCAGTTTACATTGTCGTCATCATATTGATTTGCTCTGGGGTTGTTGTTGTTATTTTTGTGCAATATGAAATGTACAAAATCTCCTTTATAATCAGAAAACAGCAAAGCTCCTTTATTTTCAAGGACTCCTCAGTGACTACGGCTTTGTCTTTTCCAACACGTGCACCCCCTCCGGTTTCCCGTCGGCTGAGGCTCTGTAGCCGGCCAGTGCGACAGGCGAGCTGTCGCCGAGCCCGGAGCTGGACATGGGGGGCGGCCACCAGCCTGCTGGAGCCCGTCTCCTCCTCCCTCTGCCGAACAAGCCCCTGGAACTCGACGTCTCTTTTCTCCATATCTGTCTGTCTGCTCTGAAGCCCCCCATCAGGACTCCCCACTCACAGGCTGCTGGGGGGCAGGGGGGCGGGCGCCCAACCCAGGGGTGGCCCGCAGATGGCCTGCTAGACAGCTCAGAGACCCCGCTTTCAGGCCGTGTGAAAAAAAAGCAGAGCTATCAAAAAAATGCAAGAGATGATTCAATCTCAGCGTAGCAAAGTGAACAAAAATCAAAGTAACACCCACATTCCTGACTCACATTAGTATCTGTATCCAGCTCCCCGGCTCCCCGGCTCCAGTGAGCAGGGAGGCTGGGGCTACATGAGGATGTTTTATTTATTTATTTATTTATTTATTTTTTAGTTCTTTTTTAATTTTTTAAAATTTTTATTGTTATGTTAATCACCATACATTACCTCATTAGTTCTTGATGTAGTGTTCCATGATTCATTGTTTGTGCATAACACCCAGTGCTCCATGCAGAACGTGCCCTCTTGAATACCCATCACCAGGCTAACCCATCCCCCCACCCACCTCCCCTCTAGAACCCTCAGTTTGTTTCTCAGAGTCCATCGTCTCTCATGGTTCGTCTCCCCCTCCGACTTACTCCCCTTCATTCCATGAGGATGTTTTTTTTAAAGTAAACTCTACACCCAACAATGGGGCTTGAACTTACAACCCAGAGATCAAGCATCCCAACATTCTACTGAGTTAGCCAGCCAGGCGTCCCTGCATGATGATTTTTGTGTCGATTACTTAAGGACAGAGAACAGAAAAATAATGGTTGGATAGTAATGGATGCCAGCCTAACTTTTCTCAGAGGTACTTTTTTTTTTTGTAAATTAACAGCTCTCCCTTCTTTCTACCACCACCAAAGCTCCTATACACATCTCCTATTTTCTGGCTTTCATGCCTTTGTGGATATGTTTCCCTGCCCTTGAGCAGTGTTCTCTCCCCTCATTGCACCTCCCCATCCTCCCCAGCCTTCAAGAGTCAGCAAAAAAATGTCACCTCCTCAATGAAGCCCTCCTGGGTTCCCCTAGCGCTGGAGTCATGATTTCCTCCTCTTAATTCCCAAAGCGATTGGTAGCATTTAGTATTGTTGCAGCAATGACATATCCATTGTGCTTGAATGTGAGCTTCCTGAGGACATGGATCATGTCTCATACCGTGTTTAAGCCGAGCAGGTGTATCTGGTGTCAAGACACACTGAAGGAGTAGCTGGGGAATGAAGAATGTTCCCTCCTTCTCACACAGCCCTTTGCATTCTGCAAAGAGCATCGCGCTTGACCCTTGCCACAAGCCCTTGCAAGCCAAGGAAATCTAGTCTCGGTGAGGGCATGTCGCTTCTTGCTAAGGTCCCACGGGCAGAAAGGGATGGACCCGGGGACAGCTGGGGGTCCGTCGTGCTTCCCCTCACCGCATCCATTATGCTGCGGGACATGGGCAGGTTTTTCAGATTTGAGCAGCTGCAGCCCCATAATGAGGCCACCCTAGCATGGGCAAGAAGAGATTGGGGCAATGCTGAGCCAGACACCAGAGCACTCCCAGCAGACCCGAGAGGGGCCTGCTCTCAGTATGCTTTGTTATGTGTGGGTGTTTCCCTCCTTCTCAGCGGCAAGAAGAAAATGAAAGCGAGCTTGGAGACTTTGCAACTGGTGCAATAAAATCTCCCAAGAGTATTCTTTTTTTTTTTTTTTAAAGATTTTATTTATTTATTTGAGAGAGAGAGAGAGAGAATGAGAGAGAGCACGAGAGGGAAGAGGGTCAGAGGGAGAAGCAGACTCCCCGCTGAGCGGGGAGCCCGATGCGGGACTCGATCCCGGGACCCCAGGATCATGACCTGAGCCGAAGGCAGTCGCTTAACCAACTGAGCCACCCAGGAGCCCTCCCAAGAGTATTCTGATGGAGAAGGGGAACTAGATAGATGGAGGGCCTCCGGCAGTGTCTTTTGATGGTGGGTCTAGGGAGGAATAGGTTTTGATTTTACTCTTTGACCCTCTCTAAATTTTCCATGAGCCGGAAACACATTTGTAACAGCAACAAGACAAGCTTCACAAAACGCTAATGTAGGATCTCAAAGTCGCATAAAGTAGCCACAGAGAATTTAATTACCAGTCCTGGCTACCTTTCAGGCCACCTGGAGCAGGCTGTGAGTACCTTCTGGGAACAAGCTTTTCAAACAGGTGTATGGTGTAGGGAACGGAAGGAAGCACACTGGGGCTTCTTTAAAAAAAAAAAAGGTGACGTTATTTTTATGATAGTTCTTAAAATAAAATTTCATGCACAAAGTAAAATATTTAAATAGTTTACAAAACCTAAAGGAAAAAAAGGAAAGTCTCACTTTCCACTGGCCATAGTTGTTCAATTTCCTTCCAGAAAATGTTTCAGTACTGATGAGCAGTGAAGTGTGTAACTTTTACATACTTTTTTTTTTTTTAAATAAGATCATGCAACATAGTCTTCTACCTTGCGTTTCTCCCTAATGCTCTTGGTGACCTCCTTATGTCAGTGTGAGGTCTCATTTATTCTCTTTACGGACTACTTGTGTGTTATTGAAGGATGTATCAAAATATCACCAATTGCTGGGTATTTAGGTTGTTTTAGTTTTTTTGTTCTGCAAAAATATGCTGCCACATGCATCTCCCAAGGTGTATCTTATGTTCTTTTGTGAGAGTAACAATAGGGCATGTTTCCAGCAGATCAAGTGCTGAGTCAGAGCTGTTGTGCTTTGTAAATTTTGACAGAGATAGCTTCATCCTCTGAAAAGTTTGCACAGGGCAAGAGCAAGAGGGCAGGAGGGGTGCAAATATCAACCATCCTGTCTCTAGCACTGGGGAAACCCCGCAGGGCTTCACTGAGGAGGTGATCTATACATATATATTTTTTGCTGGCCCTTACAGCCTGGAGAGTGTGGGGACATGCAATTTACACTCCCCACTGACTAGCTATAACTAACCATAACCAAAGCCATTCTTAATTCTTTATGTGACTTTTTTCCCTTGGGAGTTTGTTTTCTTCTATATTATCTCTTCATATTCAGGCTTTTTATGCAGGTAGAAAGGAAGCCCCAGGTACTAGAAATATATGAAGTGTTTTCTGGCTAATGTCTCAAAAACCGATCTCCCTGTTCCCCAAGCTGTCAGAGAATTACACGAGCTGCTTTGGGAATTTCCACGTTTAACTGGGCATTTTTTTTTTAAAAAAAGATTTTTTTTAAAGATTTCATTTATATATTCGACAGAGAGAGTGAGAGAGCACGAGCACGGGGAACAGTAGAGGGAGAGGGAGAGGGAGAGGGAGAAGCAGGCTCCCCGCGGAGCAGGGAGCCCGATGCGGGGCTCGATCCCAGGACTCCGGGATCACGACCTGAGCTGAAGGCAGATGCTTCACTGACGGAGCCACCCAGGCGCCCTGAAAAAAGAATTTATTTTTTAAGAGCATGATTCAGAAACAAAATAGAGGACGGTAAAGTCAATGGGACAATATGGAATTTGGGGGGAGGTGTCTCTGAGATGAGGCCAACATCCCTGCCCCCGGTCAAACATCCACCATTAATTTCAGCATCCATTGGCGAGTTTCCAATCCCAGGATTCCTTCTGTATCTAGTAGCTGGCACCATAAGAAGAGCTTTCTTGCCTCTTCATTTATTTTCTCATTTATTTGCATCAATATGGATTCCTGGAGCCTCACGTAGTTGGATGTGCTAGGCTGATTGCCACCATTACTTAATTTGGTGCCCAAATCACCTCCGATTTGGCTAGTGGGAGCCCCAGCGGGTTGGCACCTACGTCCTTCTGACGAGTCCTCACGGTCCTTCAAACACTTGCTTCCTGATGCAAAAACAACAAACAAACAAACAAACAAATACAATCAGTTCCAGGTTCATCTTAGTTTCTCTGCCCCAGCTCCGGAGCCAGACATTTCTCTAGAGTCCTGCTTCCTTTTGGTAGAAGAAGGTACTTAGAAACTAAGATCTGGGCACTGGGTGCTTATTCTGTTGTGTCATTTCTTCTGGGTCCTCTCAGGAAACAATACGTGTACATATACACACAAATCATCTGTCTGTCTATCTATCATCTATCTATCTATCTAACTTTAAAAACATGAGTTCAGCGACGCCTGGCTGGCTCAGTTGGTTAACGCCTGCCTTCAACTCAGGTAATGATACTGCGGTCCTGGGGTCAAGCCCCACATTGGGCTCCCTGCTCGGCGGGGAGTCCGCATCTCCCTCTCCCTCTGCCCCTCCCCTCTGCTCGTGCTCTCTCTCTCTCTCTCACGCTCTCTCTCTCAAAATAAATTTAAAAAACCTTTAAAAAAATAAGAATAAAAACACGAGTTCATCTTGAGCCCCCAATTCCAATAAACAGCACAAGGCACTCCCAAGGCATTTTTGAGAAGTTGCTGGCAAGAAGGTTGCAAGGAACAAGTTCTGGCCACCTTCTTCCTCGCCTGCTGAAGGCCAAGAGAGGACTCTGAGGAAGGAAGAAAACCAGAAAGTTTTCATGAGATTTCAGTTTTTCCTTTCTTCGGTTGAACCACTTTATTGGGGTCCAACTACAAAGAAACTGCACATGTTTAAAGTGCAGAATGTCAGTTCTGACTTACGTGTATGCCCACGAAACCTTCACAGGATCAGTAGAGCGAGCATATTCTTCACCGCCCCCCCCCCCCAGGCTTCCTTGTGTGCCTCTGCCCCTCCCCCTTCCCCCTCTCCCCCAGCACACCCTCCCCTGCCTCTTTCCCTCTCTTACCAGGAAGTCACCGGTCTGCGTTCTCTCACAATAGATTAGTTTGCATTTTCTAGAATTTTATGTTAGTAGAATCACACAGTATATGCTGCTTTGGTCTGGCTTCTTTACTTAGCATACTTATTTTGAGAGTCATCCGTGTGGCTCTGTGTGTATCCGTTGCTCATTCTGATTCCACTGTGTGGCCATGCCACGGTTCGCTTATCCCTTCCCGAGACTTGACAGACATTTGGGTTGTTTCCAGTAACTCCTACTATAAATAAAGCTGCTGTGAACGGTCGTATACCGGTCTTTGTGTGGACACACGCTTGTGTTTTTGTTAGGTAAGTACATGAGAGCAGGATGGTTAGATCACAGGCTGAGTGTATGTTTAACTTTTTCAGAACCCGACAAACCGTTTTCCAAAGTAGTTGCACCACACGTCAGGTACTGAAAACCACTGTACTTTCAGAAAAGGAGTTTGAGTCACGATGCTGTATTATGGAAAGGAAACCAAAAAGTTAAGTTTGGATATATGAAGGGAAATTGTTTTCTTCTAGAAACTTAGGGTGTGGTGCTGGACATGGTTCTTTGGAATATGCTCGCTAAAAGTATTAAAAAAAAGGCAGAGACCCTTCCTTGAAGAGAGGCAAGCCGTTTTTCCCTGAGTCATATCGGGGTGGGTTTACAGAGATTCAAAACACGTACGAACAATAGCCAAGATTTATTTAAGTCAGCTTGGAGGCCCTTTGTGTTAGGGAACTAACTTCATCTTCTTTGCTAAACAAATCCTGGGACCTCCTTTTCCTGCTGGAGTCAGGGGACAGAGAAAATAGGGCCCAGTTTCCTATCCTGGGCTTGTAAATGGAGCATGTAGGTAGGCACTGGGGCTCTGAACCCCTCTGGGAGAGGGACCCAGCCCTTGTCCCCCCGTGTCCTTGCCACCTGGTTACCCTGTGGAGTCTGGGCCCAGAGGGTTCTCAAGTCAACCTCTGTCCTGTGATCTTCAGGAGCCCCCTGGTTGGTAAAATAAGGGTGGGGGCATTTAGCAAAACAGACTCTGGTAGAGAAGTTGAGTCAAGAGAGAACGAGCTAATGTAAAAAGTACGTGCTGGGAAAACATTAAGGCCCCGAAGGGCTCTCAGGGGAGAGGTTTCTCTTATTCCTCTGTTAATGACCAAGATCATTTTGAAATCTAGAATATTTGGCTTGATATCAGTGTCCTGTGGACTCTAACTTTTGCTTGGGATTCTTTCTTTTCATAAGAACAAATGAATTTAACATTCAATTTCCACCTTTAGGTATTTATTACTGTCCTTTTGTAAGACAGACTTTCTTTTGATTTTTGTCCTCTCTTTCTAGAAGCAAGCTTGCATCTCTGATCCATCATGATGGCCACAGAATTCACAGTGAGTATAGCCATGTTCCTCAGGCTCCTCCAAATGCACTGTGGTCTTGCCTGTTTTGGGGAGTGTGGGAAGGAACCCGCGGTGGGGAGGGATTTCTCTGCACAGTCTCCCTGGGGCAAGATCTCTGCTGAGCTGTGCCCCAGAGGGGCCATCAGCCCTGGCACAGAGGTCTTTGCCAACACGCAAAGCCAGAAGAACTTTGGGGTACGTGGTGAAGTGAGAGGAAAATGTTATTTGAGATTTTATTAACAGGTAAGCGTGTTTATGATTTTTAACTAGATGTTCTTGGTTCTGTGTGTCTGTTCTTTTTTTATTTTTAAGATTTTATTTATTTATTTGACAGAGAGAGACACAGCGAGAGAGGGAACACAAGCAGGGGGAGTGGGAGAGGGAGAAGCAGGCTTCCCGCGGAGCAGGGAGCCCGATGTGGGGCTCGATCCCAGGACCCTGGGATCATGACCTGAGCCGAAGGCAGACGCTTAACGACTGAGCCACGCAGGCGCCCCCCGTGTGTCTGTTCTGAAATCAAGACAAACAAGGGTGAGGGACAATCCATAAGTGGTTTAAAAAAAAAAACAAACAAACCCTTGGTGAGCCCATCAGTTGGGATTCTTGCATAACAGGACAGAGCCTTTAGAGAAACCACAGAATGGTCTATGGGTGTTCAACTTGTACGGCTGCACAGGGCCCGTAACTAGAAGTGCCACCTGCTTGATTTAATGCTCTGCTGTCTTGAAATTCTTAGCAAATTTTGAACAAGGGATCCTGAAAATTATGTCGCCTGTCCCAGTGTTTGTGTATGTGCATGCACGGGAGAGGGCAGGAATGTGTGTGTGTGTGTGTGTGTGTGTTGGTGTTTCATGAGCAGAGGATACATAGCTTTCAGAAGACTCAGAGGAATCTGGACCCAGAAAAGTTTAGGAGCCTCTAAGGACCCTTTTGGGAGTATGGAATAGAGAGGAGAAATCAGAATCATTCAGAGTTTGATAAAAGTTTTGTGCCCATCATTGGTCCCAAAGGGGTCCTACCCCGTCTGAGCACTTGTCACATGTCCTGTCACTGTTGGTTTGCCTGTGTGTGCCCTCCACTAGGAGGTGGGTTCCACAAGAGCGGGGAACCCTGCCTGACTTAGCCGCTACTGCATTTTTAGCACGCACACAGTACCTGACGTAGCCTCGGTGTGCGATAAACATTCATTGAACATATAAATCTGCCGGGTGATCCAAGCAGACACTCTCAGAAATGCCTACTTTTGGGGCGCCTGGGTAGCTCAGTTGGTTGGGCGACTGCCTTCAGCTCAGGTCGTGATCCCAGTGTTCTGGGATCGAGTCCCGCATCGGGCTCCCTGCTCGGCTGGGGGGTTCTGCTTCTCCCTCTGACCCTTTCCCCTCTTGTACTGTCTCACTCTCTCTCTCAAATAAATAAATAAAATATTAAAAAAAAGAAATGCCTACTTCCCATGCATACATGTCTCTGTCTTGTCATAGACTTTTGGGATGGGGAGGGGTCATGTGGTCCACACCTCTGCCATCCCGCAGTCCTCCAAAGGATCGTCCTTGACCTGACAGTGTCTGGTATCTCCTTGCAGAACCCCATCTTTAACATATCTGACGACTACAGCTACCACTCCACATCTTCCGTGGATGACTACGTGAACTACAACTTTCCGGATTTATTCTGTAAGAAAAACAATGTCAGGCAGTTTGCGAGCCACTTCCTCCCACCCTTGTACTGGCTCGTGTTCATCGTGGGTGCCGTGGGCAACAGTCTGGTCATCCTTGTCTACTGGTACTGCACACGAGTCAAGACCATGACCGACATGTTCCTCTTGAATTTGGCAATTGCCGACCTTCTCTTTCTCAGCACCCTCCCCTTCTGGGCCATCTCTGCCGCTGACCAGTGGAGATTCCATCCCTTCTTGTGCAGCGTGGTCAACAGCATGTACAAGATGAACTTCTACAGCTGCGTGCTGCTGATCATGTGCATCAGCGTGGACCGGTACATCGCCATTGCTCAGGCCATGAAAGCACAGACCTGGAGGCAGAAAAGACTCCTGTACAGCAAAATGATCTGCTTCACTGTCTGGGTGTTGGCGGCCGCACTCTGCATCCCAGAAATCCTGTACAGTCAACTCAAGGAGCAATCCGACATCACCATCTGCACCATGGTTTACCCTAGTGAGCAGAGCGCCACAGTGAAGTCGGCTGTCTTGACCCTGAAGGTCATCCTGGGCTTCTTCCTCCCTTTCGTGGTCATGGCATGCTGCTACACCATCATCATTCACACTCTGTTACAAGCCAGGAAGTCATCCAAGCACAAGGCCCTGAAGGTGACCATCACTGTCCTTACGGTCTTTGTCCTATCTCAGTTCCCCTACAACTGCATTCTGTTGGTGCAGACCATCGATGCCTACACGATGTTCATTTCCAACTGTGCCATTTCCACCAACATTGACATCTGCTTCCAGGTCACCCAAACCATCGCCTTCTTCCATAGTTGCCTGAACCCCATCCTCTATGTCTTTGTGGGTGAGAGATTCCGCCGGGATCTTATGAAGACCCTGAAGAACTTGGGTTGCATCAGCCAGGCACGGTGGGTCTCGTTCATGAGGAGAGAGGGAAGCGTGAAGCTGTCATCCATGCTGCTGGAGACAACCTCAGGGGCTCTCTCCTACTGAGGGGTCTCTGCTCCGACATGGATGGCCCTCTTTGGAAGTCATGAGAAGTCCAGGTATGGCTGCCCCACGGATGCGACTGGAGAGAAACCAATGATGAAGAAGAAAAAGTGTGGAAAAAGAAAAACCCAGAAAGAGATGAATTTGGGCGATTACTTCAGTTAGAATTTCCAAGCCAGAGCTTTCCAAATTGACTGGCTGTCCCATGAGGCTGTCACTGTCATTGGCTGCAATGGCCACAATTTTCAAAGGAGGACCAACAGACGATCTTGCAGACCACCCTGGCTTTTTGCCACTTGCCCGAGCATTAATGCAGCTGACCTCTGGAGTTCTTCTGTGACTCCATGGCTGATTGCAGGGTTGACCTGCCCAAGGACTCTGCTTGTCCACTCGTGTCACAGGGGTTGGTCAGACTGTGCAGGGACCCTGAGAGCCCGAGTTGGCAGAACTGGCCCTAGCTCTGTCATGGGCTCACTCCTGCCGAGTGGCTTTTGGGATGGTCCTCTTTGCTCCCTATAAAACGGGTTGGTTTTATTGAGCCTCTTGTTTCTGAGCTTGCTGGAAAGATATCTGCCTCCACGCTGCTTCTCCTTTTCTTACTATATAGCGCTGACGTGTTCGAAGGCTTCCAGTTGAGAGATGAGGCTGAAAAAAAGTAATACAATTCACTTTTGCTTTGTGTCTTTTAACTATCTGGCTCTCACATGTGAAAACATTTTGTATATTGGAAAAAGTGCTTTTTGATGACTGTGTAAAATACCCATTACTTATCACTTTCTTCATCATTTCTGTATTTTAAAAGTGTCCTATTAAAGGTCCAATAGCCCTATTAGAGTGTGAAGAATAAGGCCAAGATAAGGAAATAAAATCTCCAAAATACCTTAAAGCCATCTTGGCTGCCCACTTGTTTGTTTGTTTTTTCAAGATTTTATTTAAATTCAAGTTAGGTAGGGGCACCTGGATGCCTCATTTAAGCATCCGACTCTTGGTTTCGGCTCCGGTCATGATCTCAGGGTCGTGGGATCGAGCCCTGCATGGGGCTCCCTCCTCGGTGGGGAGTCCGCTTGAGATTCTCTCGCTCCCTCTCCCTCTGCTCCCCTCCCTCAAATAAATAAATATTTAAAAAGGTAAAAAAATCATTCAAGTTAGTTAACATGTAGTGTATTATTAGTTTCAGGGCTAGAATCCAGTGATTCATCACTTGCCTACAACACCCAGTTCTCATCACAACAAGTGCCCTCCTTAATGCCCATCCCCCACTTACTCCCCCCCCCCACCTCCCTTTGGGTGCCCGGTTTTTATCTTTCCTCTGGTCAAGCTTATTTCCCAGGTTTGTCCCAATGAGTCCAGTGGAATTTCCAAGGGGGGCTATTCGAGCGGCACACAGACCACCCGGCTTTGCCACTTGCTCTCGAGGAGGCATCTGATTTTTTTCCGAGAGCTGTGAATCACCACCGGGGTTTCAGTCCCAACAGCATGGCTTCCAAAGGGGGCACAGAAGCCCTGGACTCTGCCGCATCTTCCTCCTCCTCCCTGTCCACGTCTAAAGCACATGTTCGTGAGCAATACAGGGAGCACAACATGGGCAGTAATACGAAGGCTTTGTTAACCCCTCCTGTGTGCAGGCGGCTGGGGGTAAATAAGCATCGATCGGTCTGGCACCAGCAAAGCGACACGGGCCTCAGTATAACAAGCACTGCTTACAGTCGAGGGGAGGGTGATGTCCCCAAGGCCAGCGTATGGACGGAGCCATCGCTCAGCTACTCTTTCCAGGAGACCCCAGGTGGCTTTTAAGGAACTTGGGAGAATAAGCAACAAGCACGGGTGCAGTGAGGTGGAAAGAACATGACTGAGTTTGGCTTTTCCATTCAGTGCCCTTCTGATACTGTGCTTCTGAGACCATGCGTCACAGGGACCTGGGTGGAGCAGAGGACGTGGGGAGGGGTGGAGGGAGAAGGGGTGAGCCCCGATTGTGCTTGCTCGTCTACACTCGGCCAGAGTTACTTAAGACACACCAGAATGGAGATTTTATAAGAGTTGAGAGGTCATGTACTTTGGACCAATGCACGTTAGTTGGAACAAAAGATGCCAGGGACTCCACCTTTCTCCCCTCTGATTTTTAAGGAATGGGGTGTGCGATGCCCTGAGAACGACAAACCCGGGTCACATCTGACAATGGTCATGCCTAGTTCCAAGGGCTTCCTTTAGGACATGACTGTCCCTACTGTCCCAGACCTAACACAGCTCCAACATGGGATTAGACAGACTGCCATTGGACCACATGGTAAAGATTTTAAGTATGTTTTATGGCAAATTGTCTTAGTTTTTAAATGACTGCATAAATAGGACCATTTTACATTCAGGCGAATCTAGGTTTTGGTAGCAGATTTATCCAAAGATAAAAACATTGGAAGAGCCAACACGGGGAAACCCATGAGGAACTGTGACTCACTCGACATTTCTAGAAAATACACCGTGTGAGTACTTTCTGAAATAAAGTTAAAAAGGGGTTATCATATCAAATTATGGTCGATGAGAACTCCATAAATGAGAAAAATCAAGAAACTGAATGAAAGATGGTGTGTTTTCATTATCAAAAAAGAAATCGTCTTTTTTTTTACCAAAAAAAATTTTTTTTTTAAACTAAGTTTAAGTCCACACATCACAACGTGGACATTCCAGTGGGGTTGTTGTTTTGAAGTAGTGGATGGCTGGAGATTCATTCTTCTGGGGCTGTGGAACATTCATTCACTTGGCAAACATTTGTGTATATACTATGAGCCGGACCCTCTCTATTCACCAAGGCTATAACAGGTTCACAATAACCCTTTCCCTCAAGATGGCTAACCTTCTGGCAATATGGAAAAGCCAAGCGCCACATGGACTCAGGTATGAAGGACAGTATGCAAGGCTCTGTCAGGTGACATCCCTTGGCTGAGGCGCGTGAGGAGGCCTTGTATGGCTTACAGACTGGTTTGTAGATAGTTCCGAGGACAAGCTCCCTGTGGCAGCCTCCCTGGGTGAACCACTGAAGAAGCGTCTTTGTGTGTGTTCCGGATCTGCTGTATGGGCCAAACACCCTCACCGCACACATCATGCCCTGCGTGAGGTAGATACACTATGTGGAACTAACAACCTTGTTAAAATTTAAAACTGGTCATTTCTCAGATGTGTAGTTCATATATCAGAGCTCGGCTGCCAGAGAACTTTGGAAAAAATAGAGACTGGCAACCTTGAGCAACATCATGTTATGTCCTTAGGGTAGTAATGCCACCCTGTTCCCTACGGGCAGGCTGAGAGGAAACGGTGGTCAAGGGAGGGCTGGCTAGAGTGGGACTGGACGCAGTGCCTTCCCGTGGCCTGGCAAGGGGCTCGGGTCGCTCCCTGTTGGCTCCCATGAGAGAGGCGTGTGCTCATAATGTCTTCCCTTTGGCCACAGCCATTGTCACAAGTGGTTCCGCGCAAGGAATCGACCAGTCCCAGTGAGCGCCTTCCAATGCTTTGGTGGCCCTTCACTGGAGGCCGTCACCGCTGTAGTGCAGTGGTGATGGGCAGTGGGTCCACAATGGGCTTCAAGGCCCCGTGAAGGCTGTCATGAAGCATGAAACCTTTGGACACCGACTTCCTGTTGCAATAAATGAAAAGCCGTCACACGCGTCCAGACGGCTCTTTGGTGTTTTGAACGGTAGCTTGGTGTCCCAATTCTGATTTGGCCTCATAAGTTGAAGCTTCCCATGGGGTCCAGGTCAAGGGATGAGCAAAGCATCCCCATCCTCCCCCTACACCCCGGCTCGGGCGCCCGAGGCCCTTTGTCCCACGCTGGACCGAACTCTTCCTTCTCCTACACTCTGGTCAAGGGGCTCTACACCTTACACATTTTAGATGCTCAAAAGGAATCTCCCTCTTCATTCAACAGGTCATTTACTGCGCATGATCGGTGAATACTGGGCTGTAGAGTGTGGTCATTGTCACATCCAAGATGCCCACGGTGCTTCGGCAAGGCAGTCTCTTTTTCCCCCACAACACCCGCCCCTCTGTTGCAGTTCAAGTCCGTGCCTGCGTCCTCCTGGGAGTGGGGGTGCCTCTCATCATTTCTGTTTTATTGGCACAGATGCCCCCAGAGCTAATGTCCCATTCAATGTCTTTCTTTTGCTTTTTCTATTATAAAAACCTGCAAAAGACATGCAAGTGTGTCTCTCCATTTGACTCTTTATGAGTTCCCTCCACCCTTGACATACTTATTTGTCACACTCAATCCTGGGACCGCAGGCTAAGTGAGAAACCTCTGTGGGCAGATGGAGGCGCACCGGCCGGATTTCCCCTTGAGAACAAACTCGCAGGGAATGTGGTCAGCACATAATCTCCAGCTGCTGGTTCCTCTGGGGTCCACCTGTGCTGCAGGTCCATGTCACCCAAGGCCACTGCATCCAGGGCCTGAGAGGCAGGGGATGGAGGCCGTCTGCTCCGGGACTCCCTGCCAGGCTGGCACAGCTTCGTCAGGCTTGCTTCGCTGTCGGGCCTCCTTCTGCTCGACCCTGCTTTCTCCAACTTCCCTTCATGGGGGTTGATCCCTGATAAACATCCTGCGCCCCGAACTCCAGCTCAGTGTCTGCTTCTGGAGAAGTCACTCCGCAACAACCTTTCCACCAGTGGCTGCCAATTCCGAGAGCCCAGTTCAGGCCAGATGGGTACAGAGCACCAGGTGTCCATGAGCTAGGCAGCGTGGTGAGCATCTGTCCCAGAACCGTCTCAGAAGGCTGGAGGCAGAGGCCGTGTCTGATCTTAATGCAGTGGTTGGAGATCTTGGGCACCAAAGCAGGGGCAGACACAGCCTCCCTGCCAGGACCCACCCAAGGGCACGGGGTTTGTAAGGCTAGTTCACGGACAGGGTAGGCCAGGCCCTCCTCATGCCGTGGCTTCTGCCTGTGATGCCATCCCACCTCGCCTGCCATGGGCAGACAAACCAGCTGTTGCTTTGGAGGGCTGACCAACAATTCGCCAAATGCCAGGCCGAGTACCAGGGGATGCAGGGACAGATGGGCAAACACCACTGCAGGCAAGCTCTAAACGATGCCTTGTGACAGTCGTCGGGGCCCTGCTGATGCCTCCTTCAGAAGTGGACTGGGGGCGCCTGGGTGGCTCAGTCGGTTGGGCGTCTGCCTCCGGCTCAGGTCATGATCCCGGGGTCCTGGGATCGAGTCCCTCATTGGGCTCCCTGCTAGGCGGGGAGCCTGCTTCTCCCTCTGCCTCTGCTTCTCTCTCTCTCTCTGACTCTCATGAATAAAGAAATAAAAAGTTAAAAAAAAAAAAAAGAAGTGGGCTGGGAGGCTGAACCAGCAAAGGACAATGTCATCATCCTCACAGAACTGAGAAGGTTCCTACCTGCTCCCTCTCCTGGCGCTCCTCCCTGAACACGTACAGCCGTGGGGCCGCGAACTCTGCAGGTGTGCGTGCAGGTGCAAGAGCAGAGCCGACTCCTGGGCCACAGCACCCCTGGGCTCCCTCCCCACCCCCGCCCCTGCCTCCGTCTTTCCTGGCTACTCCCTCACAGACCCGCCCATCTGCCCCCTGTATACCGCTGAGTGGCGCCATCGAGACCCCAGGGGACAGAAGACTCACCCAGGCAAGCCCTGCTCAAACTCCTGACCCAGAAAATCAGGAGATGTAAGAAAATCGTTATTACTGTCTTAAGCCACTGAGTTTTGGGGAATTGATTTTGTAATATATACATTTTTTGACAGAGCGTTCTTTTGGTTCATTCACAATTACACCGATGAAATGATTTTACAAACTCGCTGGTGCTCCATTCAGCTCTGTCCTTGTTACTGTCGCCACAAAACTCGGTGGTATAAAGCAGTAGCCACTTTCTCGTGCTTACCGTTTTGTGCGG